ACCCGACGACACGAAAAACGACAAATTAACCCCGACGGCACTGGGAAACCCGACGACAAAGAAAACCCGGCGACAATGAAAAGACGGCAAATGAAACCCGACGACCTGAAACCCGACGAAAACTGGAAACCTGACAACAATGAACCTGACGCCCCTGAAAACCGACGACACAGAAAACCGAAAGACACTGAATGAAAAGACACTGGGCCTGACGACACTGAACCTGACGACAGTGAAACCGCGACAAAAGAACCTGAGAAAAATGAAACCCGACGACACAAACCTGACGCCCCTGAACCCGACGGGACGAAACCTGACGACACTGAACCCGCGACACTGAACCTGACGGGCACTGAACCCGACGGGCAATGAACCCCGACGGAAAAATGAACCCGAAAGGGCACTGAACCGAGAAAACTGAAACCTTACGGGCAATTTAAACCCGGACCCAAAAAAAAACCCGACGACGCTGAACCTGACGAACTGAAACCCACGGGCACTGAAAACCCGAAAGACACGAAACCTTTACACATAAACCCGATGAAAAATGAACCTTTCGAAAAATTTAAACCCGACGACAGTTTAACCTGACGCAAATGAACCTGACGCACTGAACCCGACGGCACTGAAAACCCAACGGCAAATGAAAACCCACACACTGAACCCGACACACTGAACCTGACGACAATTAAACCCACGGCACTGAACCTAACGGCACTGAACCAAAGACACTGAACCCGAAGACATGAACCTGACGACACTTTAACCTGACGACCTAACCTGACCACAATGAACCTACGACACTGAACCGAAAGACAATTGGGAAACCTTAAAGACAAATGAACCCGACGACCCAAAGAAAACCCGACGACAATAAACCTGAGACATGAATGACGACAATGAACCTGACGACAATGGGAAACCGACGACAAAGAACCGACGAACCACTGAACCCGACGACACTGAACCTACGGCATGAAACCCAACGACAAAGAACCTGACGACAAAAACCGGGGGACACGAACCTGACGACACTGAAACCCGACAAAAATGAACCCGACGAAAATGAAACCCGACGAAAAGGGGAAACCGGGCGACACTGAACCTGACGGGGCAAAAAACCTGACGACAATTTTAAAATGACGACAATGAAACCCGCGACACTGGGAAACCCGACGACAAAACCTGACGGAACCCCAAATGAACCTGACCCACGGAACCTGACGACAAATGAACCTGACGACAATGAAACCTGACGACAATGACCTTACGACAATTGGGAAAAAAACACAAAGGAAAAATGGGCGGGCAATAAACCTCGGGCCCCGGAAACCCGACGACACTGAACCTGGGGCGACACTGAAACCCACGGCACTGAACCAAAGACACTGAAAAAGGACGGGCATGAACCTGAAGACAAATGAACCGGGCGACACGAACCTGACCCACACTGAACCTGAAAGAAAAATGAACCCCGACGAACTGAAACCCGGGGGGAAATGAACCCGACGACAATGAACCCGACGACACTGAACCTTTATGAAAACTGGAACCTGACGACACTGAACCTGACGACAAATGAACCCGAAAAGACAAGAACCTTACAAAATGAACCTGGGCGACCCGAACCTGACGACCCCGAACCCCGACACAACTTTAACCTGACGCACTGAACCTGACGACAAAATGAACCCGACGCACTGAACCTTTAGGGCACTGAACCGGGTGACACTGAACCTGACGGCAGTGAACCTGACGAAAACTGACCCTGACGGCACTGAACCTAACGACACTGAACCTGACGACACTGAACCGGACGACACTGAACCTGACGACACTGAACCTGACGGCACTGAACCTGACGACACTGAACCTGAGGACACTGAACCTGACGACACTGAACCCGAGGACACTGAACCTGATGACACTGAACCTGACGACACTGAACCTAGTGAATTGGATGGTGTCGAAGAACCTGGAGCTCTCATACAAGAACATTGTTAAGTTAGCCAAAAGAATTAACATCTGGACGTCTCTACACTGCGAACTGAATTGTTTGTCATGCTAATGGCGGTGAACCTCACCAGAGTTTACTGAGAAGCATTCGTAAAGCCAAGTACTGTGGTCTCATGTTCGACTCGACTCCTGATCAGGCACACCCTGAGCAGATGTCAGAAGTAGTGAGGTACGTGGAAGATGATTTTGAGAGGAAAACAGTCCGTGTTAGGGACCCTTCCTTGGTTTTATCCAGATAAGCCAGAAAGATGCTGAGAGCTGGGTTGCAATAGCTAGAGAAAGGCGAAATGGAGCTACCAGATTGTGGGTCAAAGTGCTATGACAACGCTGCTGTGATGGCTGGACACAGATGTGATGTTCGTTAAAGAATAAGTGAAAAAAAACAACAACCTGGCAGTGTTTGTGAGTTGCGACATTCACTCACTCAATTTGGTGGGTGTACATGCAGCCAAACAGATACAATGATGGTCACGATTTTTTGAACCATCTAAGCTCTCTACGTATTCTTCTCTTGTTGAACACGGCGTGGGAAAAACTAAAAAATGCCAGGCCTGTGGTTGTTAAGTCGGAGTCCGAAATCAGGTGGAGTGCATGGACAGTAGCAGTGAAGCCCGTCAACACGTACCTTGAAGAGATACTTCAAGCTCTCCAGAACATGATAGACAATGAAAATGAGACCAGTGAAAGAAGAAGTGACGCAAGGTAGCTGTATAACCGCGTGTTGAGTTACGAATTTCTGACTGCTAGGATTTTGAAACAAAGTACTCGTTCGCATTAACCGTATTCAAAAGAGGCTGCAGGATCCTAGCATGACTTCCACGATGCTGCCCTGGATTTGAAAGGCCTCCGAGATTATTTTGATGATGAAAGAGAAGTGTTGGTCAGTGAGTCACTCGATGAAGAACTCAGTCTCGGTCAAGAATGTAATATTGAAGTTGAAAGACGTCAGAGACGATAGAAGCGAATGGTTGACGAGAACTCGAGAGACGCTGGATTAACAGCCAAGGAGGAAATGGGAAGAGACATGAAGGGAACACTTGACCGTTTTCACGGTGAAATAGATGAAAGGTTCACTCGTTTGCACGACACTGACGCCAAGTTTGGGTTCCTTCTCGATGTCGAGGGAGTGTTATAGTGGCGATAGTTACGACTTAAAGAAGTGCGAAAATTTGGGCGAATTGTACAGCTGTGATGTTGATGGACAGCAGGTAGATGAAGAAATTTTGGATTGCAGAATGTTGCTATCAAGTCGGGCCAACATGAAAATATAAAGACCTGAAGAGCTTCTCGAATTTATTGTTCAATATGGATATGAGAACGTCTTCCCCAATCATCACATTGCTATTTAGATAATACTAACCATCACGGTGTCCACCGCCAGCTGTGAGAGATCATTCAGCAAATTAAAACTAATACTTTCGTATTTGAGATCCTCCATGGGTCAGGGCAGACTCTCTGTACCTTTGCTCTGCTGAGTGTGAAAAAAGAAGAAAAATGGAAAATATATGAATTTGAGACATCATAGACCAATTTGCATCAATGAAAGCAAGGAAAGTGCAGTTGTAATTTTCATGTAATGCCATAATTTATTAATTAAAAGATTAACTAGCTTGACTTGTATTTTTGAGCTGATTTTATGGTCAAGTTACCTAAAAGATGGGTATCAGATGTTTTGACAGGGGGGAAATTTCAGTGATTGCCTTAGGCGCTATTTTCCTTAGATACGCCCCTGGAATGACGTGACGAAGGGGACAGATTCAGAGGTGTTCCTATTTGCAGACGATGTGAGGGAAATGAGGAGAATACAAGCGGATGAGGACCAAATAAGGCTACAAGGGGGATCTGGTCCGACAAATGACTTCTAGAGTTTAACCCCAACAAGTGCAAAGTTATGAGCTTGGGGAAGGACAAAGAAGACTGCAGACGGAGTACAGCCTATGAAGTCAGAGGTTGCAAAACTCATTCAAGAACAAGGATCTTGGGGTGAGCATCATACCAAGCACATCTCCTGAGACTCACATGAACCAAATAACTGTTGCAGCATACGGGCGCCTGGCAAACCTGAGAATAGCGTTCCGATACCTCAGTAAGGAATCGTTCAAGACACTGTACACTGTGTACGTCAGGCCCATACTGGAGTATGCAACCCCAGTATGGAACCTACACCTAGTCAAACACGTCAAAAAATTAGAGAAAGTGCAAAAGCTTGCAACAAGACTAGTTCCGGAGCTGAGGGGAATGTCCTACGAAGAGAGGTTAAGGGAAGTCGCTCTGACGACACTGGAGGAAAGGAGGGATAGGGAGGACGTAATAACCTATAAAATACAGAGAGGAATTGACAGGTGGATAGGGACAGAATGTTTCATAGATGAGACATAACAACAAGGGGTCACAGCTGGAGGTTGAACACTGAGATAAGTCACAGGGATGTTAAGAAGTATTTCTTCAGTCATAGAGTTGTCAAGAAGTGGAACAATCTGGAGAGTGATGTAGTTGAGGCAAGATTTAAACATAGCTTTAAGAAGAGGTATGATAAAACTCCTGTAGCAAGGAGAGAGTGGACCTAGTATCGACCAGCGAAGAGGCGGTGTCAGGAGCTATGACTCGTGCCCTGCAACCACAAATAGGTGAGTGCACACACAAAAAAAATAATTTATAACAGTGCTCAATAAACGAAGACAGCAGCAGAACACTCACTGGTGGTGAGAGTAATATATAGCGAGAGGAAAACACAGAGATCCTTAGCCATGTACTTCATTTTTTATTGCACTGACTCACAACCTTGGAAGATCCCTTGATGAGACGTGAGAACAAATCTTACTCCTGCTTCACTTGTCCACCTACCAGAAAAAAATTGCCCATGTGTGGGGACTCCAATGGAAATAAAGCATGTTATTATTACTATTATTAATATTATTATTATTATTGTTTGAATTTGAGTTATATTTTGCTGATAACTTTAAAATGGAAGTCTGATGGTGCAGGTACAGTACGAGGAGCGGGCATCTGTGGGTGTGAGTGTGGGCGCCAGGATCTCCGACCAGTACCGCCATGCCCTCAGCCTCATCTTCCGGCGCTTCCCTAACGCTTCCAAGGCAATCCTCCTGGAAGAGGACCTGCTCACCTCTCCAGACTTCTTCAGGTAAGTCTTGGTATTAACTCTCAGTGTCACCAGTGACGACTGGCAAACTCGTGGTGACACGACTGCAGACAACTCATGAATGAAGAGTTTGTAACCCATGACACGCCAGTGTTAAAGCTGAAAAGACTGTATCATCCAGTGTACCATGAGCTCTGACTGGATACTAGCAAGTCAGTGTATCATCCAGTGTACCATGAGGTCTGACTGGATACTAGCAAGCCAGTGTATCATCCAGTGTACCATGAGCTCTGACTGGATACTAGCAAGCCAGTGTATCATCCAATGTACCATAAGCTCTGACTGGATACTAGCAAGCCAGTGTATCATCCAGTGTACCATGAGCTCTGACTGGATACTAACAAGTCAGTATATCATCCAATGTACCATGAGCTCTGACTGGATACTAGCAAGCCAGTGTATCATCCAGTGTACCATGAGCTCTGACTGGATACTAGCAAGCCAGTGTATCATCCAGTGTACCATGAGCTCTGACTGGATACTAGCAAGCCAGTGTATCATCCAGTGTACCATGAGCTCTGACTGGATACTAACAAGTCAGTATATCATCCAATGTACCATGAGCTCTGACTGGATACTAGCAAGCCAGTGTATCATGAGCTCTGACTAGATACTAGAAAGCCAGTGTATCATGAGCTCTGACTGGATACTAGCAAGCCAGTGTACCATGAGCTCTGACTGGATACTAGCAAGCCAGTGTTTCATGAGCTCTGACTAGATACTAGCTAGCCAGTGTATCATCCAGTGTACCATGAGCTCTGACTGGATGAGCCACCCTGATGCTGGAGGGACACCGGAGAGTTGCCACATATTCAACAAGCTGGTGTATTTTGCACAGTGTTAGTTAATGATGAATGCAGTGACTCTGTGTGTCTGTTAATGGAGATGAAGGTAGCGCTAAACTGATGATATACAATACCGACAAGTTGATGGGTAAGACACATGTGCAACAGTTGGGTATCATGATTTTTTTAAACATTTCGTCTACACGGTTGGCTTCTTCAGTCAAATACAGAGGATTAGGTATGGTTACAGCAGCAGTAGTGAGGAGGTAAATTTGAGGTGATCACTCCATCAGCCTTGAGGATCTTAGTCTCTCAGCCCGGTGAAGTGCTCAAGTTTCACACATTGTGAAGATAAAGCAAGGAGACAAGAACTGAGAACTGCAGCAAGCCTACTGGCCCATGTTAGGTAGGTCTTTCTCGAGCCCAACCATTCTCACTCATAACAAGTGCTGAAGCAAGAAAGTTGTGGAAGATGTACTACATATTTATACTATTGTTGCTAAAGTTACTGTTACTACTGTTACAACAGTTACTGTTGCTACTGTTACTTCAGTTACTGTTACTACTGTTATTTCCCAGTTACTGTAAAACGGGTTACAACAGTTATGTGTACTGTTACTTCAGTTACTGTTACTACGTTACTTTCAGTACTGTTGCTACTGTTACTTCAGTTACTGATACTAGTTACTTCCATTACTGTTACTACTGTTATATTCTGTTACACTGTTCCCTTACAGTTACTGTTACACAAGTTACTGTTACTACTGTTACTACAGTTACTATTACTACTGTTACTACAGTTAATATTACTACTGTTACTACAGTTACTGTTACTACAGTTACTGTTACTACAGTTACTGTTACTACTGTTACTACAGTTACTGTTACTACTGTTACTTCAGTTACTGTTACTACTGTTACTACAGTTACTTTTATTACTGTGTGGCATGCAAAGAGTACGTAACCTTTATTCGGCGCATGTACACACCCTCATTTACAGGCTATCTCCCCCAACCAGCGAACCAGGTTGCTAAGAGTTGATGATGGGGCCCCGTCGTTCAACTAGTGAACACAGTTCTAGCCATAAAAGATTGGTTTTGCCAATCGCAGAGGTTATGGGGTACCACTCTCCTGTCTTTTCCCTTTCATTCCCATTCTAGAGTTTGGGTTGAGTTTGTCTCTATCTTGTGGCTTCTATTTCTGCCTTGTTTACCGTGGAGTGCCAAATACTTATACTTTTCATAGTACATATTGTGTTCAAAAATTGGTGAAGGTAATATAAGCTAATTTTGCTGTGTTTATTTTGCTCCCTTTACACCGGATAACAGGCCATTTGGATTCGGGGTTGTAACATGGGCCTGTCCGGATCTGAGCTGGACTTAGAAAAACCCGGTTGAGCTTAGGGGAGGTCGTAGCAGGAACTTTGTGAGCTTTGCTGTCTGGCATTGATAGTTTGCTATGCTTTAAATTTTTGCATGTCAGTTACTTTTTATTCACCCTTGCTATTGTGGATCGTTTCAACAGCCGCTGTCTGTTCGGTGTGCTCACTTCGTTACGGTCAGTCTTCTAGAACAGTGTGGATGTCTGGCATTGCTTTACAAATTTTGCGTGTCAGTTACTGTTATGGTCAGCCTTGCTATTGTGTGATCGTTCAACAGCTCGCTACTAGCTTGTTCGGTGTGCTCGCTTCGCTATGGTCAATCTTCTAGAACAGTGTGGATGTCTGGCATTGCTTTACAAATTTTGCGTGTCAGTTGTTACCAGCCTGTTCGGTGTGGAGAATTTTGCAGTCGGCTTTGCTTGTATGCATATTCTGCAATCGTACTGTGCATAGCTAATCGTGTCCTGCAAATTAACGTGTTATGTTGGGGTATTCTGGAATCGTACTGTGCATAGAGAATAACTTATGCCACCTAGACGAGTCAGACGTCTGGTGTCGGCATATACTTTGCATAACCTACCTAAATTGTCCCTACAGCATTGTTGGCAAATTGCTCGTTCCATTGGCATTAAATACAAATGCACTCTCACAGCTGCGCAACTGCGTTCACTGATTGCTGAAAAAACTTATAAAAGAAAGATTGCATATCAGACTTCTCCCTCTACGGGAGCTAGGGCAAAAACTACTATGTTCTCGCAGGAGGAAGTGATACACCTACGGAGCAAATGGTCAGTATAGTGCAGCTGGGTTGTCTCAAGGTGAATCAGCGTCGCTGGCACTTGAGCTGGCAAAAATAAATTTTTGAGCAAACTAGGGAACAGAGAGCATTCGAAAGGGGAAGAATTGATAGGGAAAGAAAAAAGGGAAGGCAGTTTTCGCATTCTGTAAATGATTTTAGTTTACAAAAAGCAGTACAGCTTGTTCCCCGCTTCAATGAGGCCGAACCAGAAAATTTTTCGAAAGTTTCGAAAATCAGGCTCGAGCCTTGAGGTGGCCGGAACAGCATTGGGCATCGTTGGTTCATACAACATTATTGGGTAAGGCCCCAGGAATTTACGTCGTATTAAATGACGCTGAATTTTCTGTTTATAAATTTAGTGAAGACCACAGTGTTGGGAGCATATACATGTATCCCAGCCAAATATAGAAAAAATTTAAGCTGGGCAGACGACAGCTTGGTCAATCCCTAGTGGACTTTGTGAGACAGCAAACCAAAGCTTTTACCAGCTGGTATAAAGCAAGTGGTGTCTCTACCTTTGAGGAGCTGGTACAGCTATTCTGATTGATAACTTGCTGGAGTCTGTGGACAGAGGTTCGAGTCTTTCTGCAGGATCGTGATTTAACCACTGGCATTGGAGGGAAGCCAGGTTGGCTGATACCTTCGAAACTAACCGCTCCTTGTCCGAGCGGTCCCGTCTCTCTTTTCAACACCCTGGCATGAGCAGAGATCGTCAACCTTGGAGAATGAAGTGCCAGCCGGAGGAGAACGTCTACGTCAGCCAACTAAGTCACCTGGTGAGCCACGCTTCTCAACATATGGTCACCTGCGGAGAGGCAAACTCCCTCATGGTGCATCTCGACAACAGTATCCAGAAGCCCACCAGCCAGAACGACACCATTTGCAACGTCAGCAGGGAGTAAAGGGCAACCCCTGTCGTCTGCTTCCTCTGTAACAAAGTAGGTCACGTCTGCCCCAAAACTGCCCCCATAAACCCCAACCCTTTGGGAAAATCTCAAATTTATCCCAGTAACATGTCCCCTAGAAAAAGTAGAAAAAGGTATGGCCCCTTATTATTGCAAGAGTCTTATTTCCCTTCAGGAAAACTCAGAAACAACTGAAGTAAAGACCTTTAGAGATACTGGAGCATATTGCTCACTTGTAAGAGAAGGAATATTACCCATTTCAGAGAACACTTCCTTGAATTCCTCTGTTTTATTAGAAGCATTTGGAGGAGCTATATATTCTGTCCCTTTGCATAAAATTTATGTACAGTGCAAATATTACACTGGGTACGGGACTGTAGGTGTCTCAAAAGGATTCCCCATGAAAGATGCCATTTATCACTGGGTAATAACTTTTACTACCTGTAATTGCGTGTCCTGAACCTATAATGAGAAATTTTCTTCCCCGGGTGTTGGCCATAACTCGGGCAACATCCCAAGGGTTGTCTGGAGAGAATGTTGACCTATCCTTGGACGACTCCAAATCTCGGAATAGCCACTTTGGGTTTTATGAGGCACACCGGCCGGAGCCTCGTAAATCAAGTGAACAACCCCGATCAACCCTTTCCTATTCCCAGGTTGCAGGATTGCCAGATGTCTCTGTTTCCATGCCGAGGGACTGTCCTTCCGGGAGGAACAACGAAAGGACCCTTCTTTAAAATTCGCTTTTCAGGCAGCCATGGGTAAATCCCCTCTGGGTCATCCGGTCAAGTATGAAGTTAAAAACGATTATTTGATCTGCACTGAGACTGGTAAGGAGATAGAGGGCCGGCAATTGTTTAACGGGTTTTAGTGGTTCCAACAAAGTATAGACCTCAAATATTAAATATAGCTCATAATACTTCATTAGGAGGTCACTTAGGGATTACAAAAACCTTGTATAGAATCACGAAAGGATTTTATTGGCCAAAATTAAAGAAAGATGTGAAGAATCATATTAGGTGTTGCCGAGAATGTCAGCAAGTAGGAAACCTGGACATTCCATTAAACCTGCACCTCCCAACCTATACCTGCTGATGGGAGAACCTTTGCAT